ACAGCCTGGGTATCCCTTCTCCTCTGCCCCTACCTTCCTGCTGATTCACTTGTGGCAGCTGCATCCAGACCAGAATTCACCTATTTGTGTGTCCAGTGCCTGGGAGAAAAAATCCAAGACGATGTATTTCACCAGTAATTAAATACTAATGGATGTTTTAGAACTTGCTTTTTATTCTCTTTCAACAGAAGACAAAAAGCCACATTGTCTGAAGCCTCTGCACCACAGGCACTCTGCAAAAATATCTCCTCACTGCTACAAGGGCTTCACCTCCAGTACATTTGGCTGGGTAGGGAGCTGGAGCAGAGATGAGTGGACAGCATTTTAAGTATTATGTTTTTTCAATGTACTCTAAGCAGAGTTAGATAATATGATATAAATATAAAGCCCCATTCTCTATATACTCGAGGGTAGCCCACCTTGCTAGCACCAATGCCATTGAACCCGTATTAGCAGCAGTGAGGGGTGGCTGTAAATTTTGCCACATGTAGACAAGCTTACAAGGTAAGCAGGCAGACCCCCGGCTGCAGCCACATGCCTAGGAATGGAACCTTTTATTTGCTGTCATAGTGATGACTTTTAATTGTCCCAATAAACAAGCTTTTAAAAAGCTTCTAAAATGTTCTCTAATAACACACTTTGGTCTTTAGCCATAGAAATGCAGAAATAATTAGAAGTGCCATTGTGTACAGTGCCTTCTGGACTGGGCTGAAGGTGAAGGAGAAAGTATCATGCTATCCTTGTCAGCTGCAAGGGTAATTACTGCTGGCTGAAATTACTCAACATTTGTTTATAAGCTCCCCAGAGCATGCTGTAAATAGATTGTCTGTTATAGTCCAATCACATTAAAACGCTGCTCCTTGCAAACTGCTACCTCCTGTTTTCTGTAAGCTAGACAGAGAAAGCCTGCTGCTCACTTATTGAGCACCAAGCACTGAAGAGCTATGCTTAATGTGATTGTTTTCATTAGCTCTTCTCTGTCTGATACTACGTTTATAGTTTGCTGGGCCTGAAGACTGGCATGTTGCATTGCTTTCGTTTACAGTAGTGAGAGTGAATGGCTTTATTTCTGGAGGCTGTATGCGACAGTTGATGGGAATTTTGGAATAGTAAGGCATGGGAATATCTACGGACAACTTTTTCTCCACTTGGACAATGTTGTTTTTCTATTTGCCTTCTAAACGGTCCTGCACTGGTTCCAGAAGTGGTCACGTTGCCTAAATTGTCCTTTGAAGGATGAGAAGTATTTTCATAAAAGGTTAGAAAGAATGTATTTTCCTTAGCACTGAATTTCACACTACTGCATTGTCCTGTCCATTATGACCGGAGTTGTATGAAATAGTGATGCAGCCACAGCCTGTCTGTTTGATTTGTTCTCAGCATGATTTACCACATCATATCACAACAGCCCAGGTATTTCCAATAAATATGGGGACAAATTCATCGCTGACATATGCAGAGAGAATTCCATTGCTATCGACAGAGTTCCATTTGCCCCCACCAAGGTGAATCTGGCCACTAAACTGAAGATTTAAGGGAAACAAATGGAATTTTGCAAAAAAGGCCACAAAACCACAAAACAGAACAGCGCAACTCATAAAGCCCAAACCCAAACACCCCCCTTCTCCATATATTAATATATATATATATGTATAAAAAATAAAGGAAGTACGTATCCATTACTGGGTATCAGAGGCAGAAATTTGTAACCTCTGTTTCATGAGTAATTCATGAGAACACACACAAAGGGTATTTCAACAGCGTTCATTTTTATTTACCACTGATTATTCACCAAATCATTACTGATTATATATAGAGCAAAGTGTGGACCCATCATGTCACATTTATTTGAAAAGGTTAGTAACAACAAACTGCCTTTCGTACCCCCATAGCTGGAAAAAAGTCTAGACATTAGTGAATTTAATCTGATTTTCTTAAAACGCAGACTCTGCAGTGGTGTAAATCCTCATGGAAGACATTGCAACTCAACAGCTTACACCAGGTTCTTGTTTTCCCCAGAAATAGCACAACAAAGCAGCAATGTTAGTGAGCAGTAGAGAATTATTAAAGGAACACAGATAATTGGAAGAAAATAAATGATCTGGGTAGAATAGCTACTGTAAAATGAAGTGCAGGTAAATCACTGTACTGGATACCTTCCAGCTTCATGTCTTAGGTGCCTTTCTCCCTAATTTTAACATCTGCCTAATGCTTCTGTTCTCTGCAAAACAGTCAGAAAGGGATAAGAATTGAGGTTTGGATATTCACATTTTTTTCTAACTGGAATCATTGCCTGTGGAAAACTGTCCTTCTGGGAAGGATGCTGGGGTGCTAGAAATGATGATTCAATTGGCCATTAAGATAATTCCTGGAAGTACTACTTTCTTGAGGCTGTGTTTCCAGGAATGACAATCACAACATCACTGCTCTGACAGCATGATAGGTATCTCCAGAAGTGGACACAGCAGGTGAATATTTCCAGTTACTATAAGTAATACACCACAGGTTAGATCTCGTGGTTATCTTTATTTGCAAAAGCTAACTAGTGCAGCATATTGCAATCCTTTGATAATGAATGGTACCAATTGTTTTGCAATAAACGGAAGCTTTTTTGCAATCCAGGTGACATTTTTTTGTGTTCCTATTTCTGCTTTTTGTGCTATTAGAGAAGCAGTGAATCTTTAAAGAGAAACTTCCTACAGCTAAAAAAGACATTAAGGGGGAAAAAAGCTGGGAGCCATAGTGACAGGTACAACTAAGGCTGTATCCTTCGGTTCCCTGGAAACCAGTCAAACACTATCTCATCTTGCAATGGTTGTGTCTGATCCTCTGCTTCAGACATCTTCCTAATAATGGCAACTACAGAGGTGACTCTCTGCAAATAAGGGCTTACAGCAACTGGACATCCATCATATATCTCCAGAGCAACATTAGACCACCCTAATGGGTACTCCCGTCTTCATTATGATATTAATTCTCTAAATTTCCAAAGTGATTTCATTTGTAAAATGACAAAGGCTGGCTGCTCAGGAGACAAAGTGTTTTCATCCCCCTCCTGCATGCTTACAAAGGCTTGCTCTCTTTAGTCTTTGGGGGAAAAGAAATTTGATAGCATCAGATCTCTTGTGATACACAAGGCTGCCTAACAGCTACACCACCTGCCAGCACTGCATGCCTGCCCATCCAGCCTGAAGATTCTAAAGCAATGGTTGATGAGTAGAACATAGATGTTGGGGGGGTAGGGGGGCTGGGGGGAGAAGCTATGCAGGGAGAAAATAGAAGCTGTATAAAATACTCAGTGTGAAAGTGAGGCAGGATTGAGGGTAAGGGTGAGGTCAGAGCCAAGGCTGGAAACTGAATCAATCTGAACAAGGTTGGTTTGGTTAGATTAGGTAAAAGCATGATTTTCTCCCTGGTGTATCAAAGCCTTTGCTGTGGCTACAAATTCACGGACAGCCAACCAAAGCAAGCTTTTCACAAAGAGGCAATTCATTGCATAGCTCCTGATCTCCAAACTCTTGAGGATTAAATAAAATAGAAATGAAATTAAAAATGAAATCAGTAAACCTGTGACATCACTAAATGTCTTTCCCCAAATAGTGACTAACTGAAGTGTCTGACTGAACAATAGTGAGGACTTAGCAGGTTCTTTTAAGGGATGTGATAATTGTAACCCAACCGGTGAATGAATTTGGAAGCAAAACAAAACAGTATTTTTAATGCACTGAAAAGTGTACAAGACACCAATCTCACTAGGCTTTATCCTGCTTTAAGAGACTAGCCAATCTCGTAATTTGTCTGGTTCTGGATTTCCTTTCCATACAGTTATTCAATCCTGTTGCCGTCTGCCATCGAGCTTGTGCAGGCAGCAGAGTGGAGGAGAGTCGTGCAAAGAAGTTCAGTTCCTTTTCCCAAAAAAGAGCACCTTCAGCAGGAGGCTGATTTCAATTGCTTCTGTAAGTACCCTCTTACAATTTCATTCCCTTGTCCTGGCTCCACTGCTAGTTTTCTGTTGTACTAACTACTTCTTCACCCTTTTAGTGATGAATCTCAGTATTTAGGGCCAGCACTCGGTACCAGTGTAGCTGCATGGCCCCTAGTCTTAGGGCACCCTGCATCCCAGATGTCCTTCAGCTGGCAAGAAGATAGCAAAGAGCCTGTGGGGATTGCAGCCCAAAAACACATCCCCATGTCTCACGCACTCCCTGCCCAGGCACAAGGACAATGTGGCTGCTCCGTGCAGATGATGATGCAGGCAGGTCTTGAGGTGACGGTGCTGGGCAGTGTGACACCCACAGGGGCATGTGGCTCTGCATTCCACCACTGCCTTTCATCAGGCAAATTTTCTGCAAATGGGATTTTCATTAAATTTTATAAATGTATAAAAATGTTTTAGTCTCACAAATTTGAAAACATCACTGCAGAATCTTATTTTAAATTAATTAGCAATATTAAAAACATGGAACAGGATGGCTCTTTTTTGTTTTCCCAGAGGAAGCTTTTATGTTTAGGCTAGTGTTCAGCTCCTTTTTTTCCAATTCTCTTTTTTTTCTGACCTTATAAATCTTGCATCCTTTGCTGAACAGCCATGCAGCTTCAGCAGGAAGCAGACTGCCCCCCTCTTTTCCCTTCTCTGCCCTTCTTCCCCAAATCTCCAGCAATTGTGGCTTAACTTGTTTGTCAGAGACTAGGCTGGAGCTGTAGATTTGAACCCCCTCACACTGAGGAGGTCGCTGAACCGTAGTCAGCTCACCAGTTTCTGGGTGAGTGCTTTAACCACTGCTATAAAAGATGAGCAGCAGCATCACCACCATCCATCTTTAAAAATAAAGAGTAATCCAGTCGTCTAGCCCTCAAGGAACAAAGTGCCTATGAGTCAGGGAGTTTTGCTGAATGTGGATGTGGGTTACATCTTAATGCTTAACTGGAGGCTCTGTGTGCATAGCTTAGTCCTATAGGAAATGTAATTTTGGATTATTAACCTCTCTTCATCATTTCCTGGCAGATTTGAACATCACCTCAACTCCACATACTTTCTGCTAAAAATCTTTGTTTTCAGTGGTAAGTATGTGCCACAAAAGGAACTTGGGTCTTCAGCTTGGATGCTTAAATTTTCCTTAGAAATCACAGATCTTGAATGTATTGTTTTAGACACCGGGGCTGAATTTTAATGCTATAATGATCCTGCCAGATGATGACTGACTGACTGTTGTTTCTGTGTTGTCTTTTAATAGACATGGGAGATGGAGATGCTCAGAACCTCCTGGTAATACACCACTTTCCAGCTCCACAGCTTCATTTTTCTGCACTTGAAGTGTTCAGCATAAAGATATGACGGTCTGAGGTGGGTTGGCAGCTGTCCCTATCAGTTATTTATGTTTTTTTTAAATTTTGCATTCCATAGAGTTAAAATCAAACATGCTGTAAGGAACTCCACTGTGATTGCTTATCTCAGGGATAAACTTGTCTCCATGTTATATGCTTATGATGTTATTGATGGCCCTTTGGCCCCCAAATTAAATTATTAATGGAAAATTCTTTGTCATTTGTTTCTCAATGTCACATGAATGCAAAAGTATTTTTCAGTGCAGCTTCATGGAGAAGACATTCTCCTTTTGCATTGAATTTCATCTATTCTGAAAGAGGTGCTAAATTATTATTCTTTTCCATCTTTAACTAAATACTAAATACTGCAGTTCCCTGTCTAAGATTAATCCATTGCAGTTGCTGACAACGAAAGTTTTCCTAATACCTCCAAGTCCTGGGTTTTTTTGGGTTTGTTTTGTTTTGTTTTGTTTTGTTTTTTTTCAAAATTCATAGGCTAATATTTAGGGGCTTGTGCCAGTTTCATGTAAGTTAGTGAGTATAAATCGACTCTGGCATCATATGGTTTCTGTCTTCCGTGGCTGCCTTCCAAAAGCTTGAAACTCCAACCTAATGTGTCACTTCAGTATGGACAACATACTGCATGATTTGTTAGGGGAAAAAATATGCCATTTCTAAAGTATTTTGAATACTCTGTATTAATCTAGCACAGAGCTGGAGCAATCATTACACTGTGCTTCCTGGACTTTACCATGAAAGGAATTAGTTTTCCAAGGGTGACTGTAAAACTTATAGTATTTCTAGGGGGAAGTCTCTGCTTAGGAACAAGAGGAACATTGCTTTCCTGGGATTCAGTGGGATGAAAGCCACTATGAAGGGTGGCTCATGACCTCATTTGTGGTGAGGAAAGTCCAGGCCCATAAGGAGTGATGTGGCATAGAGGTTTTGTTGTTAACTGCATATGACCCTTCTGCTTTCATGTAGGAGACAGCAGAGCCATGACCACTTGATTTGGTCTGTGCTGCCACTTATGCTTGGAAGGGTTGAAGTGAATCTTCTCTCTCTCCAGGCTTGGGGGGAAGTGAAAACCTGGTACAAATGCTATTTAGTCTGTTGGCAGGCTGTTTCATAAAGATGAAAATGTGCGTGAGAGTCACTTTTATTTGCTCCCTCCACCCAAACAGTACTTTTATTGCTGAGCCTCTGTACAGCACAGTACAGCATCTGACTGGTGCTCTGCTCTCAGATGCCTCTCAAGTAGAAAACAAGTTGTTTGCCATTTTCTTCTCTTGTCAGATCAAACCAATACACGTACTCAATGTACCTATCTTGAGAAGTTTTCTTTATTGATGACTCTCACTTTCTCTGCAAACAATATATTTTCTGTAGTACCCTTCCAGGTAAATAGGGTTCACTCTGGAAATAGAAGGAGCAGAACCATATGGGAGAGTATAAAAATGAACTGACCTGAACTACAGTTCTAAAAACATTGTAAATTGTTTCCATACCTTGACAAATGTTCACACTGAGTAGGAATGCCTTCGTTGTTGTGACTTGTCCTCTAATTGTCTGCCACCTTCCAGGGAATGGTTCTGCTCATTTGCTACATTATGGTACACGGAGACAGTTTGCCAGCTTGATCTGGTCTTTCCTGCAATACCAACAATTTTCCATTGCGTTCCTAAGAATTCAATACCTGAATAAGCTTAAAGTTTACTCAACTTTTTTTTTTTAATGTTTGTCTGATATGTGCTTTCAGTGGTATTTGAACCAGACTAGCAGTGGAGAGATGCCACAACTTCATTGGACTTTGGAGCATGACTATATGTATAAATGGTAAAAATATGGTTTGATAACAAACTGTTTGGTGGATTGGTGGTGCGGAGATGTCCTCACGCACTTATTCTTGTTCAGGAGGCTCTGAAGTAATTTTGCACCCCTCCATGCATATGCAATAGCTGTGTAGCATAAGTATTACAGATCCATATGGTATGTCTATTCAGCACTGCTCTTTCAGAACATTGCCATTTAGGAACATGAATACACTCAGAAAAATTCTGTTAACATATATAATTTACCATGAAAAATAATGGTCTCACATAAAGAAAAACATGTGTAGAATACAAATATATTCCAAGCTTGTTGCTCTTATCCTCTATTTTTATTAGCTCTGTATACAATATTTGTTTTTTGCTATTTGGAATGGTAATAACAGGAATTATGTCTCCTTCACTAAGCAAGCTTTTTTAATATAAATAGGATTTGTATATGCTAATTAATAATGCATTGTATCTACACTGACTACTGGGTACTGTAAGCTTTAAATGGAAAGGACTGCACATAGGCTGGTCATTTCAAATCCAAACTTGTCAGGTATTCTCTGTGCACCAGAGTGATACTGCCTTTTGAAGAAGATGTCTTTATTCTGCAGTTCAAGATGGCCAACACACGAGCATGACGTTCTGCTTTTGACCTTGTAAAAATCATTTGCAGTTCTGAAAGCAGGAACACCTCGTGATAAAACCATATTAAGTGATAATGACATTTTGCCAGATTGTGCTGAGAATTGCTCTGAGGGGGAGGAAGACGTTTCCATTGATTGTTCATCAATCTTCAGATTGTCTTCAAATGATGAACAGCTTAGGTTTCCAGCCCTGCATCTCTGTGGTGTGGATGTACCCCACAATCATAAGGGAGTAGGGAATGTGGCGAGGCAGAAAGGGCACCACTGGAGCCTGGGGTGAGCTCCAGCCATGCAGACCCACACACGACATGACAGAGGACAGCCTTCAGCTCTGTGTCCAGAGAAACAATATTATCAGTGTTTGGCTTTGTGGAGCCATTTGCAGTGCTTTCCAGTGCAGGAAGAGGAGGTTGATAGTGACACTATTTACAATTCATTATGAGAAGATTGCAGAAGATTGTTGAAGACAGGAACAACTGACCTCCTATTTCCCTTTCATCTGCAGGAGTACATTCATAAACGATAGTCCACTTTAAGGACACCGGAGTGGAGAATTATACTGGGTGGTGGCTTCTACAATCTTCTTTATCTTTTGGGTCAGCAACATCACTAATTGGCACTTGACAGCACTTCCAGATACTCCTTGTGAATCTCATAGTGTGACTGATGGTTGATTACATAAAGAGAAGAATTCTCAGATCCATTTTAGTCCGTCAAAAACTAAGTGCTGCATAGCATGTACCACATCTGGCAATTGACAGCATCATGTTTGTAAGGTTATCTGATTGGACGAGCTGCAAGCAATGAATAAGGCAGCAAAGCTGCATGTGATAACCTCCCCACAGTGAAACTGCATGGGCTGACAGTTAGCTTCATGCTTGCCATTTTAGTATTCTGCATTTTTAAAGTGGGATAGGGAGCCAAAGAAATGCTCCCTATTTCCTGAATGCGCTTACAAACAAAGATATCCCTTAATGTGGTTAACAGATTCTTTTTTATGCTACTGAATTTTTCAAAAAAATTTTTCACATCCTAAAACAGTAGGAATTATTTTGATGCCTGAAAGCATTTGAGGGATGAATTCACCTTGCAGAAGAACTACTGCAACTTTTTTCTTGATGCCCAAAGAAGAATAATTTAAATTTCATACCCTTTGTTATTATATGTCTAAACCATAGCTCTTTCTAGATACTTTATAAACTAATCCTTTCAAATGCTTGTACAAAACAGGAAAGTTAGTAACCCTGCTTTTCTAGTTTTCTCAAAATACGCAGGCTGGCATATACGAAGAAAGAGTTGCTATCAGTCCTAATGAGCAAAAATTGTTTTATTGTTTGCGAAATTTGCACCTACTTTAGCTCATTTTACATAGTGTCCTGCTCTGTGAACATCATGCTAGTTAACAGGAGCTTCAACAGAAAGCAGAAATTTGTATCAGTGCATGCAGTGGACTGGATAGCTCTGACCTGCTGTTGAGTGATGGATGTTCTCATAGTAGCTGGGGAAAATAGCGTAACAGAGAGAAATATTAGTGTTGCATTGCATATTTTTGGGTAATATAGGCTTCGAATCTTGTATGCCATAACACTTGCATGCATTTCAGTACCACGTACCTATGAGTGCATTACATAAATCTGAATTCTGGGCAGTGCTATGCAGACTTGCAAACCCAGCTTCTCTGAACTCTATTATTTATAAGATTAAAACCCCCGAGGTTTCAGATGGCAGGGTTATTGTCAAGTACAATGTACTTTTCATTCTGAATGGACAAAAGCCTTTGAGCTTACCTGAGTCTGCATGGAAACCTGCCTGACTGTCCTCAGTGCTACCACATGTGTTAGTGGAGGCCAATCTTTTCTCCAGGGGTGTGAGACAAGCATCCTGTAGGGCCTTCCACCTGGACCACTAATACATGCCACTGATATGTGGAGGAGAGCTCTTTTTTTACAAGCACTATGTGCATGGCCTCCATCCAGGGCTGCCTCTAGAAGCAACTGGAAAATGTTACTTGTAGAAAATAGTTGTCCACTTGGTTCAGATTCTGGATTTCTTTGCATTATACCCACAAACAGATGTTGAACCTCACAGATGTGTTCATTCTTAACAGCCATTCAATGAATATGGTGTGGCATGGCCACAAATTATTTGCTTTGTGGTTATCTATTGTTTGATATTTGAAGGGTGTAGTGATTCTTTAATGTCATAAATAGCAAAAGAATATAAACCGTGTGGATTTCAGAATGGCTTTTCAAATCTTCATGGTGCAGGTCTCGTTACTGCTTGTGCAAGTATAGTTCCAAATACCCTAGCAAAATAAACATTTAGACTTTGATCAGGTACATTCAGAAGTTAAGGTTTTATAAATTTTTAAATGGAGAAGGCAGCAGAGATGGCCATTCTGAGATGGCCATTAGAGATCACATTATAAGGCATTTCATCTGGAGCATTTTAAAGAACCATAGTTGGTCTTCCAAAGTGTCAAATGTCTTTCAGATGTGCTGGTGTTAATGAAACATATATTCATCAATCTTTAGGTGGGAGGTTTTTACAGCTGC